CCCCCCAGGGGGGATGGTCACGCCGCAATCCCTTCTCCTCCATTCTCCTCTCGGGATCTTGGGCACGCACGCACACGCGCCCGGCGTGAGATTTAAGCCACCGGGTCCGAGACGCGAACCGCGGTCGACTACGTGGGAGTCCAGCGACATAGCCATTATGCTAACTGCTGGTTCCCGACCCCACTTCTCTTGAGCAGTGCTTTACCACTACTCTACATTGCTAGCCCCTTGCAAGCATTTTTATTTTTTGGTATTTTAATGCATTGAGCAGATTCTCAAATACTGAGAGTCCTCATTATCAGGACACTGCAAAACTCTGAATGCACCTGCAAATACACATCATCTTCTACATGTATGAGATTACAAGATTATTTCATTTTGTCTTCTCAACTCAAGCAGACAAGCAACATTATTTTTTATACCAGCCCACCCTCTACCCTCCAACCCCAAGCAAGACAGAATATAGAGTAGACTTCCAATCATTTCTTATTAAATAAATGTCTAGCATAAAGAAAAAAACTGAAAAGTTCCATTCTATTTGGAAAAAAGGAAACTTTCAGGAAAAAAGAATCCATAAAAAGAGCAACACTTCATTTATAAGTAATAAAATGCAATGCTTTCTATCCATGCTAAAATAAAATAATAAAGTCTATTACCTTCCACAATCAATCTGCGAAACTAGGCCATCAATTCTTTCTACACACTGTGGGCCTCTCTGCTCAGCACTGTGTCCCAGCTGTCCAGAGCTATTGGCTCCAAATGTGTACACAGCCCCATTCTGTTAAAAACAGAAGGCATCAGATTAAGTGTGGGTTTCATTTTATTTTATTTTATTATTTTTTGGAGAGTTTTTTGCTATAGGGTGCATGCTCTCACCAGAAAGACAGAATGAGACAGAGAGACAGAAAGTGAGAAATCACCCCCCAGGGGAGATGACCACGCCACAATCCCTTCTCCTCCATTCTCCTCTTGGGATCTTGGGCACACACATGCCCGGCATGAATTTAAGCCACCGGGTCTGGGACTCAAACCGCGGTCACCTACATGGGAGTCCAGTGACATAGTCATTACACCAACTGCTGGTCCCAAGAGTGGGTTTAAAAAATAAAAAGTAACTACAGCAGCCAGGAGCTCCTGAGCATGGCTTCCCCAGGCAGTGGTGCAACAGGCTGCGGGAACTCCACCACCACCAGCGCGGACATGGGCTAAGGTCCTGCAGGAGCAGCAAAAGATGTACCAGAAGAATGGATAACAGAAGATGGCAAGAGGAGAAACTATGGAGGAGTGTATGCTGGCCTGTCCTCGAAAGCTGTCAATATGGTTGGTGTCTAGTCAAGCAAAGACTGTATGAAAAAATTAAAAGAAAACAACGTCATGATATAATAAAGAGTTGTCTTCATGGCTTGCTCATCAACCTGGAAGGCATCGGGCTCTGTCGGACACTGTAATATCCAGAGACATTTCTAAGGAAATCCTACAGAGTCACTCCCTCCCTTACTACCCCAACTTCTACATGTGCAGTTAAAACCAAGGGTCCATGTTGAATGCTAGAGTAACGGGAAGAAACTGGCTAGACAGTGCACTGTGTCTGGCACTCTCTGTGGCCCACCGATGGAAGATGGGAGCACGTTTTCACCCCAGTCAGGCACCATGGTTCATGGAGGTCACATCTGCTCACTGATACTTTCTTCATAGTTTTTATATAACAAAATTCTTATTCTATTTATAACTCAAGAGAAGAGGCACTGTAAATGAATGACCTCAAGTAATATATTTGTGTTATCTTTCGCTATTTCTACTCCATATTAATTTTTTGCTGTAAAACTGGTAAATTTATTTTTACAAAAACTTTCCCTTTTTTTACTATTTGATTTTGAAATTTTATTTAATTATCAGAGTGTTTCCTGTATTAGGAGCAATGTACTTCATTGCCATATTTGAAAATACTTTACTTTTCACAACATACACTCATTTTGCTTAAATTCTTATTTCCTTCAGTCAAGGGCTTGTGTCGCTACAAATACTTCCCGGACATTGGGCCCATTCCTCCTTGGTGTAATCATGGTATCTCAGCATGTTAGTTCTAGCTATGTTCAAGGACTTGTGTTTGATGCTTGGCGGGATATCTGGGAAGTTCTTAACTTGATGACATATATATCTATTTAGTACTGCAATGCAAATTACTCAATTTGCCAATGTTTCAAACTTTAAAACATCTTTATCCAAAAAAAAAAAAAGTAACTACAAGCTTATGGTTAAGTGCTGCCAAGAGTTAATACAAGAGCACCATGGAAATATAAGCTCTGTATAAATAAACAGGTCCTTTATTATTTCTCATAGTGAACATAGACTTAATGCACTGACCACGAAAAAAAAGTCACTGGAACTCCCTTAGAGGACTGTGCAACATGGCGACAACAGGGAATACTACTGTGCTGCATGATTGAAAATCACTAAGGGGCCAGCCCAGTGGTGAAGGGAGTTGGCTCCCACATGGCTAACCGTGATTAAAATTCCAGCCTGACAGCTTGAAGAACACACTGGGGGCCAGCCAATGACATGTGGTTAAGGTGACTAGATCCCACAGTCAACTGCACAGTTCAAGTCCCAGAGCTGGTGGCTTCAAAAACCTGTCAGATGTGTGGGCATGTGTGTCCCAAATGCCAAGAGGTGAATGGAGGAAAAGGGATTACACCATTGCCATCCCCCTTAGGGGGTGCTTCCTCTCTCTCTCTCTCTCTCTCTCTCTCTCCCTCCCTCCCTCTCTCTCCACTCCCCCCACCAACAGTGAGCATATGCAACATATACCAAATTAAAACAAACCACACCAGGCTTGCGTTCCTGTGTATTTGTGTATCCAAAATCTCAACAGGATGGAGAAATGAAGGAAAGGGGAATACAGCATGACCACACTCCATTGTAGGGGTGCCTTCTCCCTCTCTCCCTCTCTCCCTCTCTCCCTCTCTCCCTGGCATGCATATGCACCATCTGGCAGTTAAAAAAGAGAAAAAGGTGGACCAGCAGGGCTGTGGTGGTTAGGTGCTGGATTCCCACAGGGCTGACTATGGTTTGAGTCCTGGACCTGGCAGCACGCCCAAAATCCTGAAAAGAGATTAGAGGAAAAGGGATTGCAGAGTGGCCATTCCCCTGGGGGAGTGATTTCTCACTTTCCCTCTCCCTGTCTCTCTGTGTTTCTCTCAAGTGAGCACACATGCCCTATGGCAAAAGTAAAAAAAAAAAAAAAAAAAAAGAGAGAGAGAGAGAAAGAAGAAATTACTAAGATCTGAAAGATTCCCATCACCAAAAAAAAAAAAAAAAAGCAACAGAGGTGGGGTGATACCTATTCAATTAGCTTGTCTGTAGTAATCATTTCACAATGTTTATCATATTGAAACATCACGTACACCATGAATATCTACAATTTCTGTGTCAATTATACTGAAATAAAACTAGGAAAACCAACAAAAAAGATCTAAGCACTTAAGTGTTCGCTGAATAGACAAATGTCCCAGTTCCAGGGTAATGCCAACTTTTACGGAGAAGGTTGAAATCTTGAAAATCTCATGATTCATAAATTATGTTCACGTCTCCTCTTCAGATATTTGGACACTGAATGGATGTGTCTAGACATTAGGATACACACACACACACATACACACCCACACACACACAGAGTTTGTGTCCGGTCTGTGTCTGTGTCCCCCTAAAATTTATATGTAGAAATTCTAACCTCGAATGTATTAGGTGAGGCCTTCAGTACATGATCAGGCCATGAGGGTGAAGCCCTCATGAATGGGACTAGCGCCCTTGTAAAGGAGACCAGGAGGGACCCCTCGCCCCCCGCTCCACGTGAGACACAGAGAAAATCTGGTCATCTCTGAATCAGAAAGTCGGCCCTCAGCAGATGCCTTGATCTTGGTCTTCCCAGCCCTCAGAACAATGAAAAATAAACTCCAGTTGTTCAGAAGCCACGCAGTTTATGGGATTTTGTTTTAGCAGTCCAAATGGACGAAGACATCCTGCTTTCAACTACAGTCAGTGTATGTACCCCGTCTACCGTTCTCTGGGATTAAAGAAAAGCAGCAGAGCATCCGCGTTACCTGGGTGAGCACCGCAGTGTGCTCAGAACCGCAGCTGATGTAAACCACACCTAGGGTCTTCAGTGCACCGACCGAAAGAGGCTTATAGCGTTGCACTGTTGAAAGAAAGAATTTCTATAGGGTTGTATAAGAAACAGATTTCCTGAGTTGGTTTTCTTCTTTTTTCTTTTTTTCAGTTTGTTATGGAGTACATGTGCTTGCCAGAGAGAGAGAGGGAAAGTGAGAAACCACCCCCAGGGGCGATGGCCACTGCACAATCCCTTCTCCTTCATTCTTCCCTTGTGATTTTGGGCACCTACCCACACAGGCCCCACATTTTTAGTTGTTGTTTTTTTGAGAGAGAGATTCTTGCCAGAGGGACAGAAAACGAGGAATCATCCTCCCAAGAGGGGATGGCCATGCCGCAATCCCTTCTCCAGTCTCCTCTTGGGGTTTGTGGGCATACATGCACATGCGCCCGGCATGAGTTTTAAGCCACCAGGTCCAGGACTTGAACCACGGTCCACTACGTGGGAGTCCAGTGATGTAATCACTATGCCATCTGCTGGTCTCCACCCAGCATGTTTTTAAGCCACCGAGTTCAGGACCTGAACCAGTCAGCCAGGCATGTGGGATCCAGCCTCCTTAACCTCTATGTCACCTTCTAGCCCTGAGTTTTTATATTTTTTATATTTTATGCTTTTATATTTTTATATTTTATTATCTTATAATTAATCAACATACTTTTGGGGGGCTGGCAAGTGGTATGGTGGTTAAGGTGCTGGACCCCACATAGCCAACTATGGTTCGAGTCTCAGACCTGGCAGCTCTTTCTCACATTCCCTCTCCCTGTCTCTGGCCAAATTTTAAAATAATAATAATAAGTAAACAATTCTTTTTTTAAAATACATTTTTTTAAAGTTCATCTATTTATTTCTTCCATGAGCAAGAGAGACACAGAGAGAGAAAGGCAGCCCCGGTGGCATCCCCTCACTGTGACCTACCAGCCAAAGCCAGCCCTGATCACAGGCATGAGACACACAGAGGCTGTGGCATGTGAGCCTGGGTCCTCCCCTGTGAGTCCATATCACAGCGCAGGGGACCTCCAGGAGCTGGAAATGGCAAGAAAGCTGACTCCTCTAAAGCCTTCAGAAAGGAAGGCAGCCCTGCAGACACCATGACATTAGACCGCTGGCCCCGTGTCAGACACCAGGCCTCCAGAACTGTAAGGTAATACAGCCATGCTGGGTTGAGCACGGAGTCTGAGGTAGCTACTGACAGAAGCAACAGGAAACTACGAAAGCTCCAGCGGAGTCTAATGGTCACAAAGTTCAGGAACCACTCTTTTAACCTTTGAAACTGCCCTTTGCTGGGTTGGTTTTGCAACTGGAAAGAACCATGAATCACTCCAAGGGCTAGTCCGTCTCCTTACCTGGGGCTTTGGTCCCGCTGAGGGCCAGCTGCCCTGCACTGTTGCTCCCCCAGCCAAACGAGGTCCCAGAGAGAGACAGGGCAAAGCTGTGAGCGCCTCCTGCAGCCACCTGGGCCAGCGGGATGCCCTCCAGGGACCTCACCCTCTGCGGGCTGGTCTGGGAGGGGACCTCCTTCCCCAGTCCCAGTTGCCCATGGCTGTTCTTGCCCCACGAAAACACTTGGCCATCTGTACAGAGAAAGAAGAGAAGTTCACAACTGCACACATACTGGAAGACCAAAGTCGAGCAGGAACTACCGTCCTAGTTTTACAAGACCTTTTTTTCAGGTTTTTGACATATAATTGACAAATTAAAATTTGGTCTATTTCAGGTGGACATCAGGATGCTTTAATGTGCATACGCACTGTGACAACACTGCCACAACTGGGTAATTAACACATCCATCACCAGGGTCAGCAGGTGGTATGGTGGTTAACATACTGGACTCCCACATGGCCAACCGCATATATATATATATATATACTTATATATATTCATCACCTCCCATAATAACCTTTTGTGCATGGGTGAGAACATTTAAGATCTACTCTTAGCACTTTTCAAGTACATAACAGATTATTATTAACTATAGTCACCACATCCTACATTAGGCCTCCAGAGTTTGCTCATCACTTTTTTTTTCATCCTAGACAGAGGAACAGAGGAGAAAGTAGCCAGCATGGGGCACGATCACACCAAGGTGCCTCTCCTCCATTTCTCTGTCATATTGCAATGATACATAAGACAGACATCACCTAAGAAACAAACAATACACGCCCTTTTTTTTTTGTTTTTTTTTTTAAGAGAGAGAGAGATTTTTGCTATTGGGCACATGCACTCGCCTGAGAGACAGAGAGAGACAGAAAGACAGAAATGACAGAAATCAACCCTCAGGGGGATGGCCATGCTGCAATCCTTTCTCCTCCATTCTTCTCTTGGGATCTTGGGCATGCATGCAAATGCATCCAACATGAGTTTTAAGCTGCCAGGTCCGGGACTCGAACTGCAGTTGACTATGTGGGAATCCAGTGACATAACCATTACACCATCTGCTGGTCTTAATACATGCCCTTTGAAGGGTATCAGGATGTGCAACCCCAAAATAAGCCACGTGAAGGCAACTGAAAATGGATAGATGCAAGAAGCGTTCTCTGCCTCCTCCTACAGCTGAAAAGCATCTTTCCCTTTGTTACGATGTCCCCACGCTCCTAAACCTGGGGAAAAGTGCAAGTCATCACTTACAAAGGAGAGTTGGCACTGAGATCAGTCTACATAAATGTAAAATATGAACAAACCTCACTAAAATAACCTTTACTCTGTTAGTTTCCCCATATATTTTTTTGTCATCTCTTGAATTCCAAATTCCCCTCCCTTTGTTAAAATAGTATATAAATCTACTTCTTTTTTTTTTTTTCTAGAGGGTGCTTGTCTTCATCAGAGATAGACAAGAGAGGAAGAGGGAGAGCACCCCCCACGGAGAATAATTACTCCATAATCCCTTCTCAGTTTCTCTATTCCCTCAGGATTTGGAGCACACATGCACATACCCTCAATGTGTTTAAGTTGACTTCTTTCATTTTTACTTCTTCTTTGTGCACTCCCATGCACAAAAATATTAATAAAAGTTGGATGACTTGTGGGACCAGCAGTTGGCATAATGGCTATGTCACTGGACTCCCATGTAGTCGAATGCGGTTCGAGTTCCAGACCCAGTGGCTTAAACTCACGCCAGGTGCCCTATAGCAAAACAAAACCTCTCAAAAAAAAAAGTTGGGTGACTTGGGGCCAGCAGGTGCTGAGGTGGTTAAGGCACTGGAGTCCCCTGTGGCAACTACAATTTGAGTCCCAGACCTGGTGGCTTGCATTCTCACTTTCCCTCTCTGTCTGTCTCTCTCTGGTGAGTGTACGTGCCCTATAGTAAATTTTTAAAAAATAATAAGAATAAATTAAATACTTCTTTTTTTTTTTTGGAGAGGTTTTTGCTATGTAGCTGGACTCCCCTGTAATCAACCACGGTTCGAGTCCCGGACCCGGTAGCTTCAACTCACGCTGGGCGCGTATGTGTGCGTGCCCAAGATCCCGAGAGGAGAATGGAGGAGAAGGGATTGCAGCGTGGCCATCCCCCCTGCGGGGTGATTTCTCCCTTTCTCACTGTCTCTGTCTATCTGCCAAGCACACGTGCCCTATAGCAAAAACCTCTCAAAAAAAAAAAAAAAGAAAAGAATCCCAATGCATTAAAAATCAATGTTATTCATATTCGAAAAAGTACTTCCCAATGATACATGAAGATTTAAAAAGTTGGGGTTTTGGTCCCCAGTGATTAAGTGCTATACAGAAGCAGCCAGGTCAGGACCAGCAGTTAGCATAATGGCTATGTCGCTGGACTCCCGCGTAGTTGACCGTGGTTTGAGTCCCAGACCCAGTGGCTTAAACTCACGCCGGGCACGTGTGCATGAGTGCCCAAGATCCCGAGAGGAGAATGGAGGAGAAGGGATTGTGGCGTGGCCATGCCCCCTGGGGGGTGATTTCTCGCTTTCTGTCTCTCTGTCTCTCTCTGTTTGTCTGGCGAGTGCATGTGCCCTATAGCAAAAACCTCTCCAAAAAAAAAAAAAAAAAAAAACAGAAGCAGCCAGGTCCCAGGCCAGTCGACAGTCTGCTGGTTAAGGCTTATGAATCCCACATGGCCAACTGCCAGTTTGAGTCCAGACCTACCAGCTTCAAAAACATGCTGGGTGTGTGAACATATGTAACCAAAGTCCTCAAGGAAAAAGAGATAAAAGAGAAGGGATGGGAGGGCAGAGTGCTTTCTCATTTTCTTTCTTGTTCTATCTCCTTGGCAAGTGCAAATGCCCTGGACAATTTTGAAGAAGAACAACAACAACAAGAAGCAGCCAGATCCCACATGGCTGACTGGGATTCGAATCCTGGCTCAGGCTCAGGCAGCAATATGCCAGGCATGCATGTTTGTGCCCAAGAGCCTGAAGCGATGGAGAACTGGAAGAAGGGTTGTGGCATAACCAGGCCCCATAGGGGGGTTCACTCTCTCATGCGCATGTGTACACACATACATGTGCTCTATATTCATTTGTTCTAAAGATTCAAAAAGTATATTTTACCTTCTGATAATGCCAGGGAGTGGTAGTATCCACAGGAAACTTGTATTATTTTTATGCCAGCTAGAGCTTTTATTTTCCTTTAATAAAAATAATACAAAAATCGATTAATCTTCATTCAGACGGAGTTGCCAGGTGGACAACATATATCTAAAAGTATCCCAGGTAAGACATCTAGGCTAGAAGAGCAATTTGATCTTCTTCTACTTCTGCACAACCTTTATCCCAAAGCCCTCAAACTATTTTCAACGTGACATCAGATACATATAAAGGTATGACCGAATCCCAAGCAGTATGTAATGCAAGACTGATTTTTATTGAACTCTGAGGCATTATAAAATATACCATTGTTATTCTACACTTATCAGCCTAAAGGAAAAACAAACCCCTTCATACCCACATAATATAGGGCTTTAGAAGTTTTAAAACACTAGGGCCAGCAGGTGGTCTGGAGGTCAGGGCAGCTGGATCCCACAGGTATGCTGTTGAAACCCCCATTTCCCGCAGCTTAAAATCATGCTGAGTAGGTGTGTGTGCATGCCCAAAACACAGGAAGAAGAGAGGAATAGAGGAGAAGGGATTGTGGCATGGCCATCCTCCATCGGGGGGGATTTCTTACTTTTTCTCTCTCCCTGTCTCTCTGGACTAGCACACATGCACTATAACGAGTTTAAAAAAAAAAATGAAGGGTCATCATTCTCATTTCAGACTGTCCCTTTCCTGCATGGGGCTCTAACTAAATAATAACTGATGTACGTTCTTCCTGCCTTCTTCCCTAACTACACCATAATCCTGAAGTTAGGAACTGTGTGTCATGGTCCTCTTTGTCTCTTGGCATTCTGCATGGTGCCTGGCATATGGTCTCAGAAACCCTGACTGAATGGGGGGAGTTAACTGAAATACTTACTGAGGCGTGAAACTTCTTTCCTTAAATTCTCCAATCCCCAGCTGTCCTTCTGAACCAGCTCCCCACGCAAAGACCCTTCCTTTGTGGCAGACGGCCAGGGAGTGCTCCTTCCCACAGCTCACGAGATCGACCCGCAGTGTTTCAAATGCCTGAATTTGTTCTTCGGAAACAAAAACAAAAATGTACCCTCAACACAAACAAGATTATTTATTGAACAAGTTTTAGTCAGCACTTTCCCTCAAAATGAAGGGTTGCCCAGATTCTTTGTCTCCCCCAAAGGTCTTTTAGATCAAGGCCTAGGGCTGGTCCCATGACCTGGTGGTTAAAGAAGCTGGATTCTACATGGCTGGTATCGCATTTGAATCCTAGCCCCAGTGGCTTGAAAAACATGCCAGGTACCTGCATATGCCTCTCCAACAGGATAGACAAATGGAGAGGGGACTGCGGCATGACCATGCCCCACTGGGGGACTCTTTCTCTCCCTCTTCCTTTCTCTATGTCTCTGATGTGCACAGACCTCCTCAGGCAAAATAAAAATAATAATAATAATCAAAACTTGAAGACTATGCTAAATGTCAGAAAGAAAGAAGCTCAATGGGAATATGACTGTCAGAATAATAACTGAGAGATTATTAAAATGATATGATCCGAGCACCTTGGGTCCTACATAAAGAAACTAAAACCTGGGACCAGCAGACGGCACAATGGTTACGTTGCTGGACTCCAACGTATTTGACCACAGTTCGAGTCTGGGACTTGGCAACTTAAAATTCATGCTGGGCACATATGCGGGCTACCACATGGCCCAAAATCCCGAGAGGAGAATGGAGGAGAAGGAATTGCAGCATGGCCATCCCCCTGAGGCGGGCAACTTCTTGCTTTCTGTCTCTCTCTCTGTCACTCTGGTGTGTGCTCGCACCCTATACCCTATAGCAAAAATCTCTCTTAGAAAAAAAAGAAAAAGAAAAAGAAAAAGAAACCAAGTGAGAAGTGAGTGTCACTTGTGAGTGAGTGAGTATCATAGCCCAGGAAAATGAAACTTAGGTTAACCAATCAGAAACCACTAATTCATCTCTAATGAGAGATTTTACTAATCAAAAATTGCCAGCTAACCTCCAACTAGAGACTTTCTGGCTTAATCAATTTTTTATGTCTTGATTCCTTGAACCCCTTATAAAAGTCTTTGGGCCAGGTGATAGCCCAGAGGTAATGCAGATGAGTCCACGTGAAGAAGGTTCTGGGTTCACATCCAGGGACCTCTCTATAAACACACCAGGTGCAAACATACATGCCTGGGGGCTGGCAGATGGCGCAGTGGTAAAGGCGCTGGACTTCCACATGGGCAACCACAGTTCAAGTCCCAGTGGTTTGCTTTCTCATTTTTTCTCTTTCTCTCCCTCTCTCTCTCTCTCTCTCTCTCTCTCCCTCTCTCTCCCTCTCTCTCTCCCTCCCCACCCCCCTCTCTCTCTGGTTGAATTTAAATAATAATAATTTTTTAAAACATCCATGTCTGTGACCCGGAGTGGATGAGACAGGGTGGATCAGAGTGTGCAGACACTGTGGGGAGTGTCTGTCTATCCATCTCTCCATCTCTCTTTCTTTGTATCTCATTCTCATGGAAGAAATAGATGGATAAACTTTAAGCAAAAAAAAAAAAAAAGTCTTGGGCCAGCAGGTGGCATGGTGGTTAAGGGACTGGACTTCCACATGGCTGACCGTAGTTTGAGTCCCAGACCTCGTGGCTTGCTTTCTCACTTTCCCTTTCTCTCTCTGGTCAAACTAAAAATAAATAAATAAATGATAATATGGGACCAGCAGATGGCATACTGGTTACAATGCTGGACTCCCACATAGTCAACCACGGTTCCAGTCCTGGACCCAGTGGCTTAAAACTCACACTGGGCGTGTGTAAGTATGTGCCCAAAGTCCCGAGAGAATGAGAAGGAATTATGGCGTGGCCATAATCCCTATCCTCTGGGGGGGTAATTTCTCACTTTCTGTGTGTGTGTGTCTCTCTCTCTGTCTCTCCAGCAAGCACACATAGCCTATAGCGAAAATTTCTCTAAAAAAAAATAAACAAATAATTGATAATAACAAATTTAATTAAATACATAAATTATTATTTTATTTAAAAAGTCTTTATCTCACATCCTCTGGGTGGAGCCCAACTGTTGAATTCTACCACTGCCAGCCTCATCACCATCTGGATGCTTAAATAAACTCTCCAAAATGTTCATGTTCATGGGATCAGCAGTTGGTGTAACGGCTGTGTCGCTGGACTCCAGAGTCCAGGACCTAAGAGTAGCTTTTAACAGTTGCTATTAAAAACAATAGGCCTCACGGAGAGTGGGGACTTCTAAGAACTCTGACATTTAACCAAATGCTTCTTTATAATGGTGGGAGAAAAACACAGGGCCCCAGAGAGCAGAAGACCTCCTCCACGCAAGATCTGTCTTGGAATTCGTAGGGATTTGGAGTTCAGAACATCATTACCAGTAAAGCTTTGTGACACATAAGGTTTCATTTTATCTTTGTGAATTTATCCTTTTCAATGATTTACTCTCTTTTCTTTTTTCAAAATTTGGTAGAGGGAGTGTACACTCGCTAGAGAAAGAGAGAGAGAGAGAGAAAGTATTTCTAGGAGGGATGGCCATGCCACAATCTCTTCTCTTCCATTCTACTCTCAGAATCTAAGACTAACCAAGCCAGTGGGTTCAGGACTGGAACTGCCCAGTCGACCACATGCTATCCAGCTGCCTAGACCACTATGCCACTGGCTGGCCCAGGATAAACACTTTTAATAGTTTCTGCATCCTCCTAAAGTTATTCTAAGCAAGTAGCCAGAAATGTGGTCAAATTGACTTACAATGATGTCAATCAGTACTACTTAAAATAGCTTCTAATTAAAAACAAATTTCTAGTGAAAAACTACCTAATTTCCATAAAAGGAGAATCATTAAGTTATGGTAATTACAGTTTGAAATGTGCAGCAATTTTACAAAATAGTTTCAAAAAATACATAACAGAAGAGTAATATGTTGATAACACTATTATGTCTGGTGAAAACGCTGTACGTAGAATGGTGTAAATATTGCCTACAAAACTGTAGAGTAACATGACTTTATAAAGGTTAAGTATCTACATTTAAAAAAAAAGGACAACAAAGAAATAGATGAGAATGTTAGAAGTCCTTTCCGTATGTCTACAATGCGCAGTAATGCTAAAAATAATAATAATAATAATACTATTCTATGTTTTCTAATTCTAAGAAATAGAAGATGCCCAAGGTATTTCTGAGGGAGTTAACAGGCGTCCAGCCCACAAACCGGGTTTGGAAGATGGGGCTGACTCCTCCCGTAGAAGAGCAGGGAGGAGCGCTGCAGGAAAACAAGCGGGAGGGACCCCATCTCCACGCAGAGGCGCGCGGTCCACGTTAGTTTCGGCTTTCGGTTTCACTACGAAGATGAATTGGAAACCGAAACAAACCCAAGTGCGTCGGAAAACGAAACCGCTGCAGTTGCGCTCTGGCAGCGATGCGCTGTTTTCCCATCCCCTGTGGCCCTCGGATCCGCCTCGCCCGGCTCCGCAGCCCCGCGCCCCTCGCCGCACCCCGGGCG